TAGGATTTCTCTTTCAGGGCTATAGTAGCAAAGCCTCAATCTTCACTTGTCAATAACTTTAATTGAATCCCAGTGTGGAGCATCAGAAGCCTCCTTCCCAGAAGGGAGGCAGCCCCTCCCCGAAGGAGGAGACACCCACTTAGAGCAGTCTGTAGATTAAGCAGTTAGCACCTGGGCCTCAGCTGCACATATCCTTGTCTGCTCCATGAAAACAGAGGAGACCTTGAAGTCCTTTTCCGTTGCCTCTGTCAATGGCACGTTTTGTCAGAAGAGGGCGCCAGCAGGACACTGCGGCAGCAGGAGGCCGCCTTTGATCTGTGGTTTTCATTTGCTGAGTTGGGCTTCTGTCAGGGGCTTCTTAACAGCCCGTGTGGGAGTCTCCGGTGGCACTTACCCACTTTGAATTTTAGCAGCACGCCCACAAAAAGATTACTAGTGAGCCTCATAGCCATGCGCGGGTTGGCTTTCTGGGGTCCGTGTGCCGGCACACCTGCGGGGTGTCCAGTGTCTGCTGCACCAGCACAGTCTTGTGCGCTGGAGGGTATTTCCAGTTTCCCAGTCTTATGGGCGAATGTCATGTTTGCAAGTATTAGATACTTAAAAGAAATAGCTAAGCGGTTCCATTGTAGAGATAATAAAAGGTGCTCCCAAGTGAGAACAAACATCCAGTGGGCAGAATGGTTTGCAGTGGCAGTCCCACACAGGTAGCGAGAGTAAGGCAGCTCTTGCACAGCTTACCCGGAGGTAAAGTAATCTGTTCTGATTCTAACAGTGGCCCTCAAAGGGGGAGAGTCACCGGGGAAGCTTTTAATTAAGACGGTTCCAAGAAGCGTATGAAGGTGGTAAGAGTTGGAGGTCCACGTTAATATGTCTTATGAGCATTTTTTTAATCTGTATGGCAGATGTTTAACATATTAGTCACAATTACAAATTAACAAGTATATATATTATCTCAGTTTAATCGTATACGTATTTGGGATCCATATTGTCTTGGGAAAACAGGGTGTTTCACATTTGGCACATCCACCTGTCTGTCTGTCCTCAATCTCTCTTGCATATCATCAGAGATCCTAAGAACACTGGACACAGGGAGAGGGGTTTTCTCAATTTGGTTAGCTAGTGTAGTGATAGGAACATAAGGCTTCAGAACACGTCGGTTCTGAGGAATTTACTTTAAAAAGACTTAGCCCCTGTTGTGCTGCCAAGGAGAATATAGTCGCTTCCAAGGACTTTGCTTTCTGTGGTTTCCATTATCTGCCCTCAACTGTGGTCTGAGAATATTAAATGGAAAATTCCAGAAATAAACAATTCCTCAGTTTTAACTTGTGCACCTTCTTCTGTGGGATGGTAGAATGCCGCAGCGCCCCACCTGCAGGGTGAGTTATCCCCGTGTGCAGCGGATCCTCGCTGTGTATGCCACCTGCCTCTTAAGCAGTTGTTCGCCTCTGCTGTCACTGTGTCATGGTGCTGGTGTTTGTCATGTAACCTTCATTTTCTTTAATACTCACTCAAGGCACAAAAGCAGACAGGAAGCAGTGCAGCGGTGTCCGAGTTTGGTCCTGCCTGTGATTTCGCACATGCTCCGGGGACTGACCAATTCGTAAGGAAAAGAAATTTGTCATCATGGTTCTGAAGAACTAGCTGAGCACTGATGGGCGGTGTGGCAGGGCGTGGAGCGGGCTTTACTGTGTCATTAGGTGGAAGGGAAGGGAAGTGGGCAGAGAGGAGACTAGCAAACAAGAGGCTGAGTTTGCTCTTAGAATGAATTCACACCTACCATAAGTAACTGACTTAGATGAGAATGCTGATTCCTTCAGGCAGCGTCTGCATGCCTCGTCACCCTGAATTTTTATCTCCCAACATTGCAGCATCCCCCCTGGAGTGTGAATTATCCCTCTGTCCTGTGGATCCACACTGGGAATTCCCAACATCTGCTTTTGGGACGAGGAGGGGACCCAAAGCATAAACGCCTAATTCAGGTGTTCCTTCTCTGCCAATTTCTTCGTCAGCCTTGGAGGAGCTGACTCTCCCTTCCCTTAGGCTTTGCTCAGACACCAAGAATAGGTTAAAAAAAGTAAAGACGTGCCTTCTAATTCTAGTTCTGAGACCATTTGGTTGGACTTGAAGAACGTTCTTCACTGTTGGGGCTGGATTGCAGGTGTGTTTTCATCCCATGTCAGAACAGAGACTCCGCTTTGCTCACGGACTGGTGGTTCCAGAGCGATTGTTGCCTTCTCTGAGACGTAGGCCTCTGGCCTGTTTGCTCTGTCACCATGTCTTTGGTTTACGGTTGACACGCTCCTGTCTCTGCTGGCATTGGCTATGGCTTCCAGATCAGGTAGCTGCAGGGCAGGGACTGTGGTGGTAGCCTATCCACGTAATGCTGGAGAGACCAGAAAACCCAGATTTACGAGCCTTTGCTAGCAGGAAAATTGTTTCTTAAAACCTGAAGTATGAAATGGCTTGTTTCACAACATCTAAGCTGTCCTTGTGTAGACTTACACTTTCCATATGTAAAGGAGTGTGCTGTTGCATCCACCGGGGATGCCTGCAGGAGCTGCCCTGACTCGGCACCTTGGCACGCAGTGGTGTTCCGATCTAGAGGAAGATGCGTCAAGGACAGACCATTATCTTCTACCAAGGGCGTAGGCCTTAGAGCCCCATGATTCCATTGAACTCTTAAGACAACCATTTGACCTTAACCATGCTGTGTTGCCATTTTTATCTTGGGCTCACTGGAGGTTCATGTGTCATAAGAAATGATGTACACTTTCTTCCAGTGTCAACACGTACCGACCACAGCAGAATGTGACAGCCAGGAAGTTGTCAACGATACAACCTGCTGTGATTTGTGTGCCTCGCAGTTCACGTGCCAGGACCCTAGTTTGGGGGTGACAGTATGAGAGACGTGAGGCCTTTAGGAGGTCGCACCAGCAGGCTTCATCGCTCATGCTGAGTTAATGTGCTAATGCAGAATGAGCTCGTTGCGAATAGGTGTGCTGTTACCTCACTTGCCTTTTGCCATGGGACACCGGTACTGATGCCCGCAAAGGTGCCTCACCTTCAGGAGGGTCCTGCCCGCCAGCCGGTGGCGTTCTGCTGCAGCAACAGATTCACCATGTTTATGTGTTTGCATGTGTTTAGTTTCCTGTACCCAACTTAAAAACACAAAGGAAGTAAGGCTCAGATAAATCATACGAAATGCTTTAAACATAGACTCAGAGAGCAAATATTGATCTATCTCGGGTTTTCAGTAATAGAAATAATTAGTATTCTGGATTTCACTGGATTGCATGTGGACTCTGTCACGTACTTAACACGTAACAGGGCTGCTTGTGTATCGACTTATGTAATCTTCGTAGCAATTATGCCATGTAAGTTAGATCAGAGTTGGTTTACTCTCCTTAATAAAGCTTGAAGTCATTTTGCCAAGGTATAGACAAATTCTTTTTACAACTCCTGAAATCAACAGGAAAAAATTCTCCTTTTTTAAACATAATTTTACATGGTAAGTCTGTGGTGTAACCACTGACCCATAACCACTGGCAGTTGTTGAGGATGGGAATGTATCTCTTTGTGGGAGTTAGGAACGGAGGAAGGGTAAGTGAGTACTGGATTGTAGATACAGTTATGCTGACATATTTTAAACTCATTATTAAATTGTAAAGAAGAGCTAGTTTAGGCAGAGTGCCAGGTTTTAAAAAGAGAATTGATGGAAAATATTAATACTTAGAAATACAATTAGAGTTGTTCTGTAGTCTAATTTAAGGTTATTCTTGTGACTTTTTTTGGGGGAGGGATGGTAAATACAGCCCCAGGGATGTTTGGATTTAATCAGATATTCACAATTGCATTTCTGTATTTAGACTGGTGCCTCATGCATTTGCCTGTGAGTTAGGACTGATGTGTTAGAAAGATAATGGATATGCTAATCTAGAGTCCATAATTTTGTGTTCTTTGCTTGTTGAATGTCTTGTAAAGCTGTCTCTGTGATGGAGGGCAGCCCTTACCCAGACCAGGAGTAGCAACAACCCGGCATGCTGCCTGCCTCAGGAGGTCTTGGTGCTTCTGCAGAGAGCAGACAGAAAGAAAGGGGAATTTTGTCCTTTTTACCTCATGTAATCCCACTGGGAAATGCACCAAGTGCTGGGAGCTGATACTGGCTGCTGCCAGGTCGCCTCCCTCAGGAGTCACAGACAAGCATGCGACAGCTGAGCCCGGCTGCCCGTGACTGAGTGGATGGCTCCTGTGCTGGCCTCCTGTGGAGCACTGCGCTTCTGTCTGCCTCTAGCATCTCTTCACAGTGCCACAGCGGCCTGCATCTGCCGCCAGAGGGGAAGCAGACAAGCTACACACACTCCCGGTGTGACTGTGTTCTGCATGGTTTCTTTGAAAAGCCCCAGTCCACAATGATGGCACCGCACATGCGTCACCAGGGGATGGTGCGTGGTGGAACCTTATTTGCGTCTTCGAAAATGCACAGGTCTTGAGGCCTTATGTTATTAGAGCTTCCTTGCAAACTACAAAGCCTTTTCGTAGACCACTTTATCCATTTTCTCCTGAGAAGTTTTTCCTCCTTATGACTCATTCTGTTCCTTGGCTAGTAAGGGGGGAATGCAATAATTGTCAAGGAAAGGAATGCATGCCTTTTCTTTCTCCTTTCTTTCTTTCTCCTTTCTTTCTTTCTTTGAAGAATTGTACACATTTTCTGTCTTGGGTTATGTAAACTTGCATGACTGCAAAATGTTGACAAGTGTGAAAGGTAAAAAAAACCACAAAAAACACAAAACAAAAAACAGCTTTCCTGTTAATATACACTTCTCTGGAGTTTAAAAACCAAAACACTTTCTCTGCCTCTTGAGAGAACCGTTTTGCTAGATGGCCCAGAATACAAATCCAGTAAAAATGACATGTCCCAGCCGCCATTTACATATACACCTTCAGTGCAATTAATGAGATCACCTCAAGATTACACTTTGTGTTTTATTTTCATTTTATAGGTCTGTATGAGCTGTTGGCTGCATTGCCCGCCCAGCTGCAGCCACATGTGGATAGCCAGGAGGACTTGACCTTCCTCTGGGACATGTTTGGGGAAAAGAGCCTGCATTCACTGGTCAAGGTAAACCACACTGATGTCAGATTCTCTTTGCGAAAAACATATGGAAAAATATTTTGAGCGCCATCTAGTAAACTAGAGATGAAATTGTTACTGTCTGAAAACAAAACAGCCTTGTTCTGTTTCATGGCCGGGCGTGGAAGTTGTTAAAGATCTTACCAAAAATACATGGATGACTTCACGGTAGGCCGGCCATGTGCCCGTGCATGCTAATGTGGCGGCACTTACCCGCCCTTGTTTAGACAAAGGGCGAAATAGTGGCAGGGAGGCTGAGACTCCGTTATGGTCGGCATTCGTGAGCTGGAATTTCACTTAAATAAACAAATGTTCACAGCAGAAATTAGAAGGAATATGTGCACTGAGGTCAGAAACGGCAGCAGTCCAGAAGCCACATTAATTTAAAATAATTTCCTTTAACAAAGTCAACTGAAATTCTAGCAAGCTGTTTCTTTTATTGGCCTGACTCCATGGAAATGGTATTTTGTAGATAAATACAGTGGAGCTAAATACGAATAAAAACAGTTTTTGGAGACAGTTTTAGGGAAAGCATCCCGCCACGAGAACCGTCAGCCGCTGGGAACCAGATCCTGTCTTACTGAAACACTGGGAGTGACCAGTGCTCTTAAAATAGTAAAATGAGAACAAGAAACTCACTGGAAAACATGCCACTCCTGCTTGGGGAAATATGAACTGCGTTTTCTCTCCTTTAACTCAAGCTGAAAGAAATGCCGAGTCTTTCTATGTCTGTAGGAAGTAGATGCCCCTGTCTCTGTGAAATCTGGACCTATGCTTTATTCAGCTAACTTTGTTATGGTGTCTGTCCATGGGAGGCTTTCAACTGATACACAGTGTTTGAAAATTCACTTCTGCTGTTTACAGAACAGGCATAGTCTGTGTGTTTCTTTTCCTGAAGTATGTCTGCTTTGAGTAGCAACAGCGCTCAAGATGTTCAAGTCCATATGGGACGCTCCCCTGGCTCTCCCCTGGCAGCACGTTTAAAGCTTAGAGATTATGCATTCATTTCTTTTTCATAATAATGCAGTTGCTAACATGTCTTTATGCCGTAGTTCATTTTAGGCAGCTTACTTAATTTCTTGGGGCGAGTGAGAAATGGCCTTTGGGTTACAACTGGGGAGTTGCTGCCTTGGTATAGTAATGATAAAAAATGTTTCTGTGTTGAATGCAGGGACGCTGAAAAGCTACAGATGTATGCACACTGGTTTTAGTTTTTGCCAACAGGAATAACGTGTATTTGAATTGACATCATCCCTGAGTCAGGAAGTAAGCATTCTCCCAAATAATAGATGCGTATTTATTTGTGTGTATTTATAACATAGCTGTGATTTCATTATCTAAAATGGAAGTCAGAAAAGTGTGTCAGCAATTTCCATAAAACGGTGATCGTTTCAGTTCCTGGATAGCTATGGAAGTTAGGCTATTGAGTATCGAGGGAAAGCTTGTCAGAGCACGTGAAAGCTCAGAGAACTCTGGAGGTAGAAGCTACGGCTGTTAAAAGGATGAAACTAATGTAGAAAGCAAGTTCTAGTCACGTTGGATGGTGAGCCTTAGGCATAGGCTGCTTTCCAAAGCATCTGTCGGTAGCAAGTGAGTAGGAAGCATCCAGGAGGCTGCTAGGGTCTGGTTCCCTAAAACTGATGAAGCAAATGGTTGGTGTTTGGCATTTAGATGGCACGCTTGACGTGCGTGTCGCTCCAAGTGTTTTCAGTAATTGCTGTAACGGGTTTTTCGAAGGAGTGTTATTTTGTACCGCCTAGCGCATTTGTGATTCCTTCGTACTCTCTGCCTCCAGCTCTGATCAGATGCAGACCTCAAGGCTGTCCTCTGCCTGACCCATGCTATTAGTTTTAAATATGTAAAGTCTACACCGCCTCCAGGAGGCAAGCGCATGGAGCTTAGCTTAAAACAGCTGGAACAAACCGAGTAACCGTGTTCCAAACGCCTCTGTTTAAGGCTAGGGACAGAAGCCTTTAGCTTTTGTACATAAATCTTGCTAGAGCCAAAGGAATTTGTTTGAAAAGATTTGTTACAGAGTGAACCAAAAGGTGCTTTGGTTTTATGCTCTTGCCTGCAGTGAAAGCCGTTAGTGCGTGATTTAGAACTGGAGAGTGCAGAATTTGATTTTTCTCCTTGCACAGAATTTTCATGGTTCTTGCAGGCTGTGTGTGTGTGTGTGTGTCTATGTGTGTATGCTATAAGTTGCCACACAGCTTTAAAGGTTTAATATGCTTGTAAGCTTAGGGTCTGATGTTAAACATAAGCTAATAAGCCTCAAGAAGAGGCTTGTTAGCACATCACAGTCTAAGGGCCAGGTACAGTGCACCACCTTAGGATACTGAGATTGTTACTGGAAAGAAAGATTGATTGATTCTTGCAGACTTGAAAGCAACTGAATATTACCATCGATGAAGTTGATGCCCAAGAGCAGCACAGCTGAGTTACCAATCATCATCATCATCATCATCATCATCATCATCACAAAAAGTCTCAACACTTTAAATAAGTTTATGATTTTTCACTGGGACACCTTCATAGTCTGATGTGTTGGCTGAGGGTTATTTTTAAAAGAAAAGCTTTAGGTAGAAGAGCTGAAGCCAGATGGTGGTGATACACACCTTTAGTCCCAGCCTTCAAGAGGCAGAGGCAGGAGGATCTCTGTGAGTTCAAGACAAGCCTGGTCTGTCTCAAAAACAACACAAACAAACAAAGCCCTCCCCCAGGACAAGATCATGGTGTTCTGTCAGTCTTAGGAGGAAAAGGCACTGAGAGGGCTGAGAACCGTTGTGACAACTTGAGGGGACCTGCAGAGGTGGGGGATGAGGGAGTGGCAGTCACGAAGCCCGTGCGAGGAAGACACTGCGCACACACCTTTTGTTAAGGCATGGGATCAACAGAACATATATTTTTATGCCCTAACTCCAATTCCAGACTTATCTTCTGTTCTTAACCACTTCTTAAAAGGAGAATTCGATCTTATGACTTAATCTAAATTTTATTTAGTTGGATTTAAATTCAGTTTAGAACAAGACAGGGCATAAGAACTTGCTTAAATATTGGATTTCTTTTAAATTAGGTTGCATTTGTGTCCCTTCAAATTTGTGTCTCTTTGTTTTTCACTCAGAATTATATTCCTGTTGAGGATGAGAGTATCCAGTGATTATGACTTACATTCCTGAATGTGTTCCTTCTGCCCTTTCAGTAGTTTCGTGTGTGTGTGTGCGGGAAGAAATGAAGAAAAGAAAAGATGCTGTTGGAGCTTTATGTATCTTTAGACTCTGGAGCATTTCAACAAACACAAATCTTATATTTTCAGGGAGATTTTTCTTGCACAGTAGAACTACTGTTTTGTTTTTGTTTTTTTCTCCCTGGGAGTCCAGTGTTTCAGACAGTAATGCTGAGCTCTGGAACTTCAGTTGTGAAAGTGCTTGCCGTAGCCATGAGGCTCTGACCATGACTCCACTGGAGCCATGTTCCAGCAAACAGTCCTGGGGCTTGCAGTGCTAGGGCAGGGAAGGCAGAGGCGGGCAGAGCCCAGAAGTGCGCTGGCTTGCCATCCCCGCCTGCTTGTGAGCCATTCTGTGTGGGTGCTAGGAACTGGACCGAGGCCCTCTGCATGAGCAGTGGTTGTTCTTAACCATGGGGACAACCGTCCAGCTTGTCTTCTTGAAAGTAAACTGGTGGACTGTAGAGGCTAGGTGGGCATGGGCTTTCCAAGTTGGAGATGATGGCAGCCGAGCATGGAGAGGCATGCTGCCACTGCCGTTCCCTAGCAAACTGAGACCCCTCTACCCTGTGAGCTACCCACCAGTGCCCAGCTGTCCAGTGTTGGGAGGGACTCAGGGGCTAGTCTCTGGGAGTTCTCTACAAGCATATCCATTCTCATACAGTCTGACTATCTCCTCAGAGGAAATGAGAGGCGATTGTAGATGCTTTAAATGTTTGCTGAGCCGCATGTAGGGCATAATCAGATAATTAGACTCATTTCCAGAGGGTCGTTAGGCTCAAAGTTGTAGGTAATAGGCGTGGGTAGAGGGCTGCCAGGTAAAATGCAGGATAACACTCAAGTCACGCTGCGGCTGTTAGAGACCAGTTCCATGTATAATTGGTCTCATAGTTTGAGAGTACCTGATGATGTCATAATTTGTGTGAGTATGTGCCTCAGTGTGTGCATGGTGAAGATAGCGTAGGTCTCTGAATGTGTCCGCATGTTGAAATTTTATCCATCATTAAACAACTCATGCTTGCAGATTTAAAAACTCAAGAGCAAACTCAAAGACGGGTAGATTTTTCTCTTCTGTTATCTTTATAAGTCTTACAGTTTTATGCTACAGCTAGGCCTGTTAGTTTAACTTTTGGGGAAGGTCTGCGTCCCATGTCTGGATTAAGATTTTTTCACTTGAAGTTAGAGAGGGACCAGCCCATCCCCATGGGTGGGGGGCAGGATGACAGCAAGCATGGAGGCGGGAGCAGCTGAGAACGCACGTGCCGACCCAGATAGAAGCACAGAGGGCGAACTGGCATAGCACGCGGCTTTTTAAACCACAAAGCCCCTGCCTGGCAACATGCTTGTTTAGGCAAGGCCACACTTGCCAGTCCTACCCCCAAAGTGCCCCAGACTGTGGACCGAGTATTCAAATGCCTAAGACCTTGGAGGCCATCTCATTCAAACCGTCACAGACATGGTATTGTGTATTTAATTTCTGCTTTCAGCTCTTCATTGCTTATATAGAAGCAAACAGTTGACTTCTAAGTTTGTATCCTGTATCTTTGCTACATTGATTTTTTTTTTTTTTTAGTGCACAGAGTTTTGCTGCTCTTGGTTCTTTAGTATTTTCAATGTAATCATGCCACCTATAAACCTTTTTGAAAAAATTTCAATATATACTTCTTGATTCTTTTTTTTTTTTTTCTTACGATGTCAGTTAAAAATCTTGTGCAGAACTGAACAGCACTGGTAGGAATGGCCATCTTAGCATTCTTGTGTG